CACATATTAATAATAAAAATCAGTATAAATAAATGCCATATTGATCGATTAGACGCAAATTCTTACATGTAATTTTTATATAGCAGAAAGGTAATAATCAACTATTTACTTTTTTTAGATTTTCTATTTCTGGTTTTGCATGAAAATATTGTGCAACTATCTAGTTTAATTGATAATTCATGAATGAATATGAATTTAATATATAAAATTTATATATAAATTTATTGCAACTCTAAATATACATTTCTAACTAAGTATCATTTATTATAATATAACAATAGATAAAATTTAAACTATAATAGATGTATGATTTTATCTTTTTACGTATAAAAAAAAATTAAACCTTTTAATAATATAATTATTTATATATCTTAGAAAACCTGTGTCTAAAAATTTATATGATGTTTTATTATAATTTGCAGAAAATGTATATTTGGATGCTATTAGTAATTTTTAGAAGCAACATATCTCCAAATTTCATTTCATTCATTCACGAATTATCAACTAAATATATTTAAAAAAAAAAGACAAAATAATATATCATGATTATACAATATTACAAATTTATATAGAACTGTATATATGATTTTATTGGATGATCGGCCACTCCACTGTGACATTGTATGCTTACTCTTTTTTAAGTTCACAAAAATTGACGTTACCACAAGATAAACCCAAACTATCACAAGGAGTTATGTTGTTAAAAGGTGAAATTTCTACGTATATTATAATTATTAACTATTATTATTAGCTATATATCATACTAAATACATGGCGACTTTTGAACTGCTCAGAAACGAATCCGTGGACTGCTCTATCCAAGTGGAAGCAGAATCTTCCAGTCAGATCTTGCATGATGGATGTATGAAAAAAAGTAGTGAAACCACCATGCCAGAACTGCCAGATCTGTCTGAATTAATAGATAAACTAAAGAATGATCGCAGGTTTCATGAAGTTATAAACGAAAAAAATAAAGATCTTTTACATTCTAATGATTTGGAACACTTCCACCAAACATTTAATGTTACTGGGCTTCGCCCATCATTTGTGAACCATTCTGGATATGTGATTTTGATTTTAAATGATTGTGGCTCTATGTTTAGATGGGACAAGATGTCACAAGACTTTGATTATTTGGGAAACAGTTTGAGAGAAGGTCTTACAAACTATATCTACCATCCAGAGAAAATATGCACTATAATTGAGTTCACCGGTGAGATGATACCAAGAGAAGAACTTAGATATCAATCAATAAAAAAGCTACATGGTCTCAAATTCCAATCATTTGCAAAGAGTTTGTAAAAAAATTCTATAAATTTCATTGCTGTTTTTAAATTTCTTATTTTTTTCGAACTTCTATTTTCTTTCTAATTTTTATTTTCTATTTTCTCTAAATATCTTTACATGATATAAGAATTTGAAGAATAATAGCCCTGTATTTACATCAATAATTTTTATATACTTGTGCTTTATTCATTGTTGCTGAAATTGTTTGTAGTTTAACAATTAGTATTTGATTTAATAAAATAAATTGGTAATTCTGCTGCTTTCAATATAATTACTGGTAGTGCTAAATTCTGTCATTAATACAAGTTCCTGTTTCATTATCTCATTCGTGATCAACGGTATTTATCTAATAGTTAGCTACTAAATATATATACTGTATATATGTTTTTATATTTAAAGTGAGATCTTGCCTCGCAAATCATGTAGTGATGATTATACAGCAATTTAAATGGCGTTACTTGAAAAAATCTTAGATCTGCGCGCATGATTTGATCCCACATGAATTTGTATTATTGCTTATTCTGTGAACTATTCTGCTATGATTTTGGAAAAAACAAATTGACAAAACTATACATGTGGGTGTAATTACGAAAGCCATACCAAATAAGGTTTTTTGTACATAAATATTGGTGGGCCAATGCAAATTCCCTATAAAAAAAGTTTGCTTGGTTTTATCAAATGTTCGGAAAGGAGTCGCTATAGGATAAAAACAGGACATCAAAGATGTATTAGTTTTATCCGGTTTTTACCTATAGCGATTCCTTTCCGAACAGATTTTGAATATTGCCAACGAAAACAGGATAAACCAAGAAACCTTTTTTATAGGGATTGGCATGTATTCACCGAATTTTTAGCATTTGTTAGGTAGGTGAAATTATAAAATGTTAATTTCTGATTATCAAGGATGAAAGAATTTAATCATTTTTAAATGTCTAGATTACATGCGTATGTAATTATATACTAGGAGCAGAGAGATATGAATCACGATAATGTGGTTATATGGCAATTGAACATATTGAACCATCTTTATCCTGATAAGTGATATATATCATTTCACTAGTTTAATTAATTTATGTTATGCTTATATAAAACTTTTGTAAATGCATTGAAAGTAATAATATACACAGCAGAGAGTTATCATTCACGCCAGTGCGATGCATCGCTACCCCCGATCGACTAATCAGGTGTAACGTTGAAGTGATTATGATTTTTTTAAAAGGCAATTTCTATTTGTACTAGGGCTCTGCAAAGCGCTAGGTGCCTCATGCCATGGTCATGCCTATAGGCATAAAAATGCCAGGCACTTTTGTAGACATGGCACAAATTCCAGGCACTCTTGTTGGCATGCAAAGTGCCAGGCACTATTATAAACATGCCAGGCACTATAATAGAGGCTATATTGAAATTTGGCTAAAAAGGTTACTTTTTTACAAAAATGTTATACTGTATTTGAAAAGCGGATATTGGTCAAAAGGTTACATTTAAAGGTGGATAAAGTAAGTTTTAAATAGGTTACATTTAAAATTTGGATAACCAAATAAAAAAAAAAAAAATTTTAAAAAAATGTATTTTTTTTGAAAAAAATTGTTATATTTAACAATTGGCTAAAATTTATTAAATACTAAAGCTTATATGTAAAATATAGTTAATTAGCTCTAATAAAAAGTGGATAAAATTTTTAAAAAGTTATATTAAAGCTAATATAACCTCTATATATATTGTTCGGGGTCCTCTATAATAGGCATGAGCACATTATGCCAGGCACAATTATAGGCATGGGCATTAAGAGCCGGGTACTAAGTGCCGTACCAGCCACAACCCTATAGTAATTCCCAATGTTTTTTTCGAATTTGTTGTTGCACCTAATTTTAGCAATTTTGGGATTTTTACTCAACGACTCACAAATGACTGACACCAAAGGGACCGTTCCACTACGACACTTTAAGTATTATACTACTAATAATCTAACATCTCAACATCTTGATCAATGCTATACCGTTGTTTCTGAACTTCAAGATCTTCCGAAACAATGCTTTCCGTTATCCGTTCTTTATCACGCTATCACAACAAGGGATCTGTTTTACTAAACACAATGAAGATACGACGGATAAACAATTCGCCATACATTTAAATTACACTGAAAGAAAAATTAGTTAAACTTTGCCGGTGGCTTTTCACATTTGGCTAATGATTACTATAGGAACTTATTTGGAAAAACTTCAGGTAATTAGGCATATTGAAAAATGTTGATAGTTTTAATTATACAGCTTATTCCTTCGATATAGAAAAATGTAGGTACGATGATTCTGTAGATGATCAAAATGCTCAAATAAAAAAAAAAATAAAGCAAGCGTATTTCGATAAGAAAACACATTTCGATAAGGATAAATTTGGATGGAAAATTATCTGAAAGAACATCAAGCTGTCTTAAACTGGTCTTTAGAGGAATCATTGGAAAGTAAAAACGAAGAGGAATAGATAAAATTATTTATTGATGATACTAAAAATTTCAAAAATTTTTAATATTGCATTTTTATAATTCTAACTTTTTTAAAAAAGGCCACGATCTGTCTGCTCAAGAAAGACGTAAGCTTGTTGTAATACAAGATATAATATAAAAGTCGACAAATTTATCCTAAGTTTGTTGATTTTTATTTTTTTTTTTACAGCCGGTTTTAATTTTCATGAATTATAAATGGAGACACCTAAAAACCCATTGATTATCACATTCTGCATTTGTTACCATGAATAATTAATACAAAATGCAAGGTATGAATTATCGTTATATAAGAAACTAAATGGGATGTTTACATTTACATTAAATATAGTGCTAATTCATAGTGACTATTATCAAGAAGGGAAAGAAAGCATTCAAATTTATAGAAATGAAAAGACATATAAGTTCACAGATTCAGTTGAAGAGTTCCAGAAATCAGATTGGTTAGAATACGAAATTTTAAACACATACAACGAGTAATTTATAACTTGAATATATTATTATTGGCAGAATCAAGTAGTTTGTGTTATTACCGATGAAAGCAAGTGGTTATTTAAAAAATTACATGTAAGAATTTGCGTCTAATCGATCAATATGGCATTTATTTATACTGATTTTTATTATTAATATGTG